GCGTGTGTCTATAGGCAATATTTTGATAATGATATATTTCACTGTGACATTTGGAATTCTTTATTACATTTATTTAATCTTGCTTTAGCATATAAAAAGCATTCAAAATATATTTTCATGTCTGCCATCTCCTTTTACATGTTGCTACATCCCGAACTCCCATTACCCATAAACGTGAAATAAAAACAAATAAAAAACAAACAAATAAAGGAACAGTTACTAAATGAAAATAATAATAATTTGAAAACCTTTCAAAACAATTATTATATTTGATTCTATTCTGAGTTTCCACTGGTTGTCCTCTGTTCGTGGCATCCATCTATCTCTCTCTTTCAATATCTCTGTCTTTCACTATCTCTTTCACTGGCTCTGTCTTTCACTATCTCTGTCTTTCATTATCTCTTTTACTATCTCTATCTTTCACTATCTCTTTCACTATTTCTTGTTCACTATTTCTTTCATTATCTCTTTCACTATATCTTTCAATATCTCTATCTCTTAACTCTCTTTTCCGTATCTCTTCACTATCTCTTTCACTATCTCTTTCACTGTCTCTTTAACTATTTCTCCTTCACTACCTCTTTCACTGGCCCTGTCTTTCACTATCTCTTCAGTATCGCTTTCCCTATCTCTTTCACTATTTCTTGTTCTTTCATTATCTCTTTCACTATATCTTTCAATATCTCTATCTTTTCCGTATCTCTTTCACTATCTCTATCTTTAATTATCTCTTCACTCTCTTTTTCACGGTTTCTGTCTTTCACCATGTCTATCTTTCACTATCTCTGTCTTTGACTATCTCTTTCAGTGGCTCTGTATTTCACTATCTCTTTCACTATTTCTCTTTCACTGTCTTTGTATTTCACTATCTCTTGTTCATTATCTTTCACTGGCTCTGTCTTTCACTAGGCCTTGGTTTCACTATCTCTTAAGTATCTCTCTTTTACTATCTCTATCTTTCACTATCTCTTTCACTCTTTCTCTTTCACTGTCTCTGTCTTTCACTATCTCTTTCACTGGCTCTGTATTTCACTATCTCTCGCCCAAAGCCTTAAAGCCAACCAACCCTGACATTGCAGGTTATAGTACTGCACAATGGTGGCGCCCTTTCAGTGAAAGATATGACAGTTCTTCTTTTCTTTTGTCTTTTATACGTTTACATTTGTCATGTTTCTTGTATAATTGTTGATCGTAGTGGAAATCCATTGTGTAAATGATGTAAACTTGATTGACTGCTTCATTTCCCTTTAAGGTCTCAATGCCATCATTGTTCCAAACAAGTACACTTTTACTTGTGCTGTCCTGCTTTTGAGCAGGGACTTGTAGGTGGGAATTAAACGGACATTATGGTGAGAGGTGCAAATGGGGGTTTAGTATTACAGTCTACATATTGCTTCAAACCAGGCAGCACAGCTTAAAGCTTGCAATGGTTACAGTCACCAAGCATTTCAATTGTCTGTGAAAACAATCTGCTGGAGTAGTATTGGAGATACTTTGAAAATACTATGAACATATTCAAGTTCTGTTATTTGTTTATTGTGTTTTATCTGTAGCGCTTCATTTAATGTTGCTTCTATCACCACTAAAACAAATCCTGACTAGCTCATAAACCACTGAAGTTTAACAGTGTGTGACTCCCTCTAGTGGATGTTGTGGAGTATTCTGTTGTCTTTGCTCCAAAGGTTTTTGTACAGAGTTTTGGTGTTTCCTGTCACTGTGGGCTGCAGAGCACAGTAGTACACAGCGGAGTCAGACAGCTGAAGCTTCTGGATCTTCAGAGGAACTGACTTATCCTTGATTGTAGCATTAAATCTGTCTTTCGTGAACTCTGCATCAAAATCTGTTGTTTTTGAGTAACTTTTCAGCATGTACTTAGGAGACTCATTTACTTGTTTGTACCAGAACAAAGTTGGAACTGTGCTACTCGTCTCAAAAGTACAGCCAAGTGTAACTGTGTCTCCTTCAGCAGCAATGACATCTCCTGCTGGCTGGGTCACTCTGTCTTCTCCTTTACACTCTGGGGAAGAAGAGAACATGCAGAGGAAGAGATGGATCAATAAAGATGATTGATTAAAGGAGAACAATCAGTAGGTTTAAAGAGTTACCTAGCCAGAGAGTCAGAATCAGGATGTTTCTCAGCCAGTGGTTCATGTCTGCAGTGAGAGGGGAGGAGAGAGAGGAAGAACATTGATACTCTGATGGATCTGGGCCTTCACATCATTGGCCCTTCCTCTTCATCATCTGTTGAGGAACTCTCAACATTTACATCTCATTTACATCTCAGCTGTTTAGCTGATGCTCTTATCCAGAGCAGCTCATAATGAGGAGCTTTAACATGTGAACTTTCTGTTACAACAAAGTCTCTTTAACCACTTTTCACCCTGGAATAGTTAATTCGGGGCGGCTGTGGCTCAGGAGGTAGAGCGGGTTGTGAATGTTAGTTTCCGTTTGAGCACTTAGGCTCAGTGTGTGAATGGTGAATGCAGATGTAGTGTAAAAGCGCTTTGAGTGGTCAAAAAGACTAGAAAGGTGCTATACAAGTACGGAGCATTTACATTTCATCAACATGGGTCTGTAATCATTTTAGTTTGTCTCATCATCAGTGATACCAAAGCATTCTGTGTAGAAGAAGACTTCCTTGTGGAGTGCCTTACTGTACAGAAATAGCCTCAATTAAACACCATGATCTGGATTAACTGTGTTTTATTAATAACAGGAGTAATATTGTAACTTGTCATTAGATTGTGTTGTCAGTGTCCACTTGGTGGCGCTGCTGTTCAGTAAAAGGAGGAGCTGCAGTGAGTAAATCTTCAGAGGAGCTGTCAGGTTTATGTACAGAGTTTTGGTGTTTCCTGTCACTGTGGGCCTCACAGCACAGTAGTACACAGCAGAGTCTGTCACTGCAGCAGAGGAGATCTGCAGATCCATTTGGGTTTTATCATCACTCACTTTAGCAGACCATCTAGAGTTTGTTGCATTTTGTGTTCCCAAGTGAAAGTGAAAGATGAGGAACTCCTTAATCCCTCCCTCCTTCCTCTCACAACTCTGACAAATAGTGAGTTTGTCTCTGCTGTGGTGCTGTTATTCACTAAATGACATAATATCCATCAGGTAACAAGTAGCTGATAAGATAACACTGATTGACACTTGAAAGAACATGTGAAGGTCCTGACTGAGGTCAATCTTTACACAGACGATATGCTACTATTACTAGTATCTACTTCTGATTCTGTACCTGTCTGTTGCCTTATGATCTATTTCTATATCTGAAATAGATGCCAGATTTGCACATTACTTTTCTGACCTTCCATCTTTCGCTGTTTAAAGTTATAATTGCTGGCAGGTTTAATATTCACACTGATGATTCAACAAACTCATTTAAACTCATTTAGGAAACACATTAGAGTCTTTCCCTTGGTCTGAGTATCAATTCTGTGGTTCTCTGATTACGTCTGACACTGTTACATGCTGCCCCAAAACATCATAGCAGAATTATCAGCGCCTGTATCCTCAGTTAACATAGTGCCTTAACAATCTCAGTCAATCTACTTTAGACTCCACGACTCCCATTAATCTCAGATCAAAGTTGCCTCTTAAACCATTTCTTGGATTGACGATAGTTTAAGGAGTCTTAAAAGATTGAACAGAAGAGCAGAATGGAGTTGGAGAAAGACTAAATTCCATGTCTGCTATTTATGAATGAAAGACCTTCTGACTTCTTACAACAAATGACAGACACCAGAGCCAACTGCTTTACTAACCTCGTCACCGGGAACAAGCATGATCCTAGATTCCTGTTTAAAACCATTAGACAGACTTATCAACCCTGCTCCCCCTGCCTTACCACTCTCTTCAAATGCTGACTGTGAGATGTTTTTATTATCTTTTTCTAAGCCAAAAGTCACTAACATTAGGTCTAACAGCTACTACCTGTTGTTGCTCATATTTCTGATAACCCTGGCTGTCCTAAACTGCTCAGCCATTTTCAGCTAATTTCTTTTCCTGAGCTCATCGATACTGTCTCTCACATGCTTTCCTCTTCAAGCCCTCTTGATATCTTAACCACATCCCTCCTAACGAAGGTTATAGTGGACATCGGCCTTTGCTTACCTCACGTTATTAATTGTTCCCTTTCTTCCTGCCGCATCCCTAATTATTTTAAGCAAGCTAGCATTCAGTCTTTATTTAAAAAGCATAACTTGATTAATCGCTTCCACAGAACTATAGACCCATTTCCAAGCTTGCTTTCATATCCTAAGTTCTTGATGGTGCTAACTCAACTCTTAGCTGTGATAGACTGGGTTTCACAAACTTCACATTACAGAAACACCCTCATTATGGTTACATACGATTTACTGATGCCGATGCTGGGGAGTCACATGTTTTATTGTTGCTCAACCTTAGTAATTCGCTTAACACTATTGATCAAATAATTGAATTTCCTGTCTCCATTGGTACTTATGTTTCATCTTACCCTCTGCTGAAGTGTGGGGTGGCTCAGGGATCTATTCTTGGTCCCATTTTGTTTTGCTTTTATATGCTTCCATTAGGAAACATTATCAGTTATTATAAAAGAGTCTCTCATCACTGCTACGCTGATGATACACATATTTACTTGTCCTTTTAGCCAGATAACATTAGCTGTCAATGTAATGGAGTTCTTGTTTGTTATTGCGAAATGGATGACTTGTTAATTTCTGCAGCTCAACTCAAACAAGACAGAAATAATAATATTTGGCCCTGATCACCTAGTAAGCAAACAACAACCGTTTATTGGTCCACTGACAACCAATTGAAAATCTCCAGCCAGAAATCTAGTTGTAACATTTAATCCTGCTACTTACACCTTAGAAATATTACCAAAATAAAATGAGCTATGTCCTTTATCTTTTCACACCTGGACTATTGCAGTGCACTGTGTGTGACTCCCTCTAGTGGACGTTGTGGAGTATTCTGTTGTCTTTGCTCCAAAGGTTTTTGTACAGAGTTTTGGTGTTTCCTGTCACTGTGGGCCGCAGAGCACAGTAGTACACAGCAGAGTCTGTCACTTTAGCTGAGATGATCTCCAGATTCACACGCTTGTCTGTTTTGTTAATGTGAGCTGAGAAAACTGAACCAGTTGGATGAATCGTTCCTCCTTCTGTGATGGAGAGCAGGAACTCTGGTCTGGATCTCTGGTATTGTCGGTACCACTGGATATTGGTGATGAAACCCTCATATTTACAGGTCAGGTTGATGTTTCCTCCCTCTGCAACATGTTCTTCAGGACTTTCTGGCGTTATGCTGTTCATGGAACCCAGGGCTGCAAAATGAGTCATTCATGTCAGTTAGTCTGCAAGAGATTCTAACATCAAGAGACTCAACGGAGGTTCTTGACTTTCTGGATTCATTCAATAAACCAAATGTCTGTTTCTATCATGGAAGTTGTTCCCTTCCACAGAGAAACCTCTAGTTCTGAAATGTAGACCAAATATCTGGTTAATCCAGCAGGTTAATGAGCCTTTCATCTGTGTTCCAACACTCACCTATGAAGTGAGAGCAAAGTAAAAAGAGGTAAAGCAACATGTCTTTGGAGTTGTTAAAGCCAGACAGACAGCAGATGAGCAATGTTCTTCCACTGCAGTAGAATGAAGAAACTAAACAGCCTCTCTGCTGCACAGCCCTTCTCCTCAACATCAAGCTGATTGTGCTTTTAGTTCCTCAAACATTTCTGCTCTGGAGACGCAAAGAATCTCATTGGTTGAGTTGGACTTCAGTGGGCGGGGCCAGAGAATCCCCTTTTTAGAGATTGGCTGTCTACCAAAGTTCAGTTCAGCCAGTGAGATTATTTGTGCATCCAGAGCAGCTCTGCCTCAGAGAAATGTTTCCTGAATGTCCACTTTCAGTTCTTCACACCACTGTGAGACTGAGGAAGCTGGATTACCTGAAGATTTGGTCTTTACTTGGGAACATGGAGGACATTTTTACTCTTCTTTGTTACTGTGGAGAAATCGTGATATCAATATTTTATATATTAAATCAGCCCTAGCAGGGATCAGAAGCCATCATGTCTTAGGGTGTACTCACACTATGTGATCCATACTGGGCCCGAGCACGTTTAACCCCTGACCTGTGCCGGTGCCCCCCTGAAGAGATGGGCTCAGGCAGGGTAAGGTTGGACACAGGACACATCTAATGTGATCGCTAACTGTCCTCGAGCTCTGAACTCAGACATAAACCCCATTGTGCTGTGTGAGAGGGAGCACTTTTATTCAAAACAGTAGTCGTATGTAGTGATGACTTAAACATGCGCAGGCCAGAGAGGGGGGGGACGTTTGTACTCAGGTAAGGGACAAGACAACTGGACCTTGTGTGAACACTCTCTTGATCTCCTACCTTGTCTTCGTTGGATGACTTGTGGTCAGTGACTTGGACCCTTTCCCAGTCAATGCTGTGACTGATTTTTATCTGGTGTTCTCAGACAGTTGATGTCTGTTTCTGCCACAGGTGGCATTTACACTGGGGACACTGGGGACACTGGGGACATGTCCCCATAAGTTTTTGAATTCAAAAAAAACATCTGGAAAAATAGCTTGCACAAAGAAATGTTAGTTAACTAAACACTTTGAGAAAGGTTTATTTGCACAATAAGAAAACATGCGATGCAATTCAAATATAGAAGAAACAAATGTGCTTTGTCCAAAAAAGACAAGTTTCCTTTAACATGAATAAATGAATTTCCACTATAAATTGGTGCAGAAACCAGAATGCAGGAGATGATGAGTTTAATGCTGGAGGAAAAACACACAGCAGCTCTGCTTTAATCTTGAGAAGCTGCAGAGCTGCAGTCTCTATTCATTCAACTTACATTGTAAATTTCCAGCTAAACTGAGGCTTATTGAAGATCTCAATTCAATTCAAATTAGCTTTATTTTCATGAATGTGTAACTACAATATTGCCAAAGCATCATACATACAACATAAGAACAATCAACCCCATATATTTCATTAAACAAGTAATTAAAGCGTATGTGTTTGTGTTAAAAAAGATATATATTAAAAAATTAAATAAATAAGCGTGTGTGTGTGTGTGTGTGTGTGTGTGTGTGTGTGTGTAAAAAATAAAAATATATTAAAAAATAAATACAATACATAAATACAATTACTAAAATATCAAACGATCAAAATAATAATTTGAAAATCTGTACAATTATTTATCAGTCTGAGGTTCCACTGGTTGTCCTCACTTCATGGCATGAGGAGACATATTTTGCAGCAATTATTTAACATTTGGGCATTTCTCCCAGTAAATAGGGGAGTTTCTGTGCGTCTTATATGAATTCGAATTCGGGGCATATTTGGGAAATGTTTGCAAAGTGTTTTTGTCTTAGTGTTTTATATTTGGGGCATGAGGTTAGAAAGTGCAGCTCTGTCTCTACCTGTCCTCTGTCTCTACCTGTCCTCTGTCAGAGTGGCAGCAGAGTCTCTCCTCTTGTGGTAGCCAGCTCTGTCTGTGGCGACCCTTTTCTATGGCCAGGCTGTGTTCACTCAGTCTGTATGTTGTCAACATTTCTCTTAGTTTGGGACATTTTATTGTGCTCAGGTAATTTGCCAGTGTGAATTCTCTTTTTAGGGTCAGATAACATTGTAATTTACTTTCTGTTTTGGTCGTTTCTTTCCAGTATTCAATATATTTTTCTTTCTGCTTGCTGATAATTTGGTTTGGTCTGCTTGAGTTGGCGTTGCTGCCTGAGGCTGTTGGGGACTTGTTACTGCAGAGAGCCTCAGGACCAGCTGGCTGAGGGGACTCTTCTCTGGTTTCAGCTCCTGGTATGTTAGGGCTTTGTGATGATATGTCTGGGGGTTAACTGATTGTAAAATTTAAGTGATCTTTTCTGTATTTTTATTGGCCGAGCTCTGCTCTGCACAGGTTATTTGGTGTCTTTCTCTGCACCTGCAGGATGCTCTTACAGAACTCAGTATGGAAAGATTATATGATTATTTTGTCCCATTTGTCAAATTCATTATTAAGTTTTGGCCCCAGATGTCGCTACCTAATTATTGGTTATAGTACAAACTGGAAAATTTTAAGCCAGATTTCAATTGGAATATAGATTTTAATGTTTCTTTTTATTGCATAGAAAGCTCTCCTTGCTTTGTCCCTCAGATCTTTCACGGCCATGTTGAAGTTCCCTGTGTATGTAATGTTGAGGCCAAGGTAAGTGTAGTTTTTTGTGTGTTGTAATTTAGTTGGTTTTTCAAATTAGACAATGAAGCCAAATGATTAAATATTGAATTAATTCTCTTGAATTAACTCTGTACAGAATGGCAGAGCTGTAGAAGCTGCATACCGCTTGTATTAGTCAGCTTGTCAAAGCTCTTTCTAGCAGGACATTCAGGGAGGGGGAAGCAGGTGCTTCCAGGTAAATGTTGGTCTCCCTGGGTGTTCATAGTGTCAGTTCTTTCCCCAGTTTGAGCGTTCAAGTCCCCACAGAGTAACACATTTCCCATGGTTTTATAATGGTTAACTTCCTCAAGAATAGAGAAAGTATCTGGGTTGTAGTAGGGGATTCTGATGGAGGTATATAGATGGCACACATGTAGACATGTTGCTCAGCACAAATCATCTGTTTGTTCATTTTCATCCATATAGAAGATTCTTCTTTTTTAATAACTGTGATGGACTGGCTCAGTTCTGATTTACACCATATAATCAGGCCTCCTGAATCTCTGCCTTGGGTTATTGTGGGTTTTTTGTTGATGGTATAATAATGTCAGTGTAGCCGTGAGGACGACCAGTGGAAACATCTTCTCTGCACCATGTCACCTGTAAAACTATGATGTCAGAGTCTTTAACTCTCTATTAAAATCTGGATTTCTGCTCTTTAAACCAAAAGCTGATGATCTCAGACCTCGAATGTTCCAACATGTTATTGTAAACGATTTCATTCCAAGTGTAATCTGTTCAAAAATTAGACAAACACCTTAAAAAACTAATAATAATAGTAAACTAGATAGTGTAGAAGTGTAGAAAGAGGAAAATAGTGTTGTAGGTAAATGAATAAAATATTAAACTTTGAGTGACGTTTTAGAGTCTTTCATGTGTGAAATACTGTTAAGAATTATTGTGATGTCTCTAAGAGTCTCTGCTCTTCCACCATGTAGCTATATGAGGCCAGAGCAGAGCAGGTTCTGCATGTGTAATATGTCTTTGAGTTCACCAGAGGGGGGCGGGGCTGTGGCTCTTCTCACCGCTGCAGCGTAGTTCAGTCCAATAGGCTGCTGCTCCTGTAGTCCTGGTTCTTCCATTGGGATTAGGGGGGAATAGGACCTCCAGGCTGGGGGGCTCTCTGGCTGGGTATCAGTGGCCAGTGTTGTGTTGGCTGTGGGTTGTGATGTTGGTGATGCGGTGGGTTTGGTGGCCTGTCCGTCCTCTCTGACAGCCGGGGGTGGATGTATGGTGGAGGTCTGGATGGTCTTGGAGGTCTAGGAGGTCCTGGAGGTCTGCGTGGGGTCTGCGTTGTGTGGTTACCCCTTGGAGTGGTAGTAGGGCTCCTTCCAAGAGCAACATCCTTCAGGTTCCTAGCAAGGGTGGGGACTGCATTTCTGTGCAGGTGTATGTTCATACAGGCAGTCCAGGTGCAGGGTCGGGTGGGGGGCCAAGAACACGTTGGGTTTGAGGGCACAGTCCCTGGAGAGTCCTGCTCTCCAGTCCTGTCCAGGGCCTCAGAGTGCTGGAGCAGGACAGGATCAGTGTCAGCATCTGCAGGCTGTCTGTCTGGAGCAGGGACAGAACAGGACGGTTGGAGAGATGCTTGCGAGGACCTCCTTCTCCTTCTCAGCTCTCAGTCTCGTAGCAGGAAAGTCGAGCTCAAACTGTCTCAGGTCTCCTTGTATCGTGGCAGTTCCATGTTTGAACAGGTTTACTGTTATTCTGCTGGTGTCAGAGTCATTTTCTTCCAGTGCACTTCTTTTCCTTTTGATAGCTGGGGGTAGTCGATGGTTTCAGAGTGTGGAGACATCATGAAACAGGTGTTGATCTTCGAGCTTCTGTGTTTAAAACAGCGCTACTGCTGTTTGATGCTGTTGCTAGGTAACCACAGTCCAGTGTTAGCTTGTTAGCTATTAGCTTGAGTGTTTCAGTTGGGACTTGTTTTATGGTAATAAATATAAAAACTTACTGATTTCAGTGTCCAGTAGTTTGCTGTAACTTGTTTATTTTTGTTCTCTCCTTGTTTGTTTCTCTTCAGTTTGATGCTGTTTTCTGAGCTCCTTCTTCAAACTGTATCTCTTTTTCTTCTTTCTCCTCTTTTTCTCTCCTCTGGCGTATTGTGGTCACTTATTTTGCATTTTCCTCATAAAAAGTCGGTGTTTATCCAATTTTTGGACCAGAAACAAGCGTTTTTTTTAGCAGCAAGTCTCAAACATGACTTCTCAACAACAACAATCTCTCTCTCTCTCTCTCTCTCTCTCTCTCTCTCTCTCTCTCTCTCTCTCTCTCGCATGCCGTGCTGCCGACAACTGCATGCATGTAGTCGAGTATTTAACAGACTGAAGGGGTGATACACTGTAAAAAATATTTTTATGTGGGAATAAATATTT